TGGATTTGATCTTATGACTGCTGGTCTTCTGACCCTGCAGCACAGGCTTCTGTGGTTTAACCTTCAGCACCACCACGTCCCTTTGCCCTACAGCGTTATCCTACCCTAAAAAGTCATGAGTGCTTTAGCATTTCTTCATATGGAACATGCTGCTGAATACTGATTATTTTGCATCCTAATAGTGGTGTCATCGAAGCTACCAACATCAATTTGACCCAACTCCGGGAGGCAATAGATGACAGGAGGGCCTGGCATGCTCTGGTCCATGGGGTCACAAAGAATCGGACATGACTAAACAACTAAACAACAACAAAAAAGTGACCTTCAGTGGGAAAATTCTGAATGTTCCTGCTCCTAACAATAACTAAACAAATCCAAGCGTAAAAACTCCAGAGACTACAGACTACAAGCACAAATTCCAAGATTCCAAGTGGAAGATGTTCCTTCATCTTCCAGGAAGGGTGCCATCTTTCAAAGTGTAGACTGCCAAAAAGTGAAGATTGTTCATGGCTGCATCGTGAGGTATTGGGCACTAGTGACCACTAGGCCTAAGGAATTGCTGCAGCAGAAACTAAACCCAGGAGTTATGTCCAATAACCTAACCAATAGTTTCAGGATCTCAGGTAAATCATCCCGACCAATTGGCCTCAGCTGGTGAACGTAATTCACTATATCCATCTCATTCGGAGCTGCTGGTGGGTGGCACAAACAAGGTTTATTTCCTCACAGATAAATCAAACCTGCACAAACAAGGTTTGAGTGAAACACAACCCTGACTAGAAGGATTTGAGGACAGGGGAGTAACTATCAGCATTTTCCCTTTATAAACAATAACAAAAATATATTTCCCTTTACCCTGAATAAGTGCTGCTTATTACTGCAGAATTAACAGAGTTATTGCCACCTGACTATGAAGTGATGAAAATGCCATTTAGTTCATTTTATTTTTCAAACAAAGGTTTTCCAAATTTTGAAAATCTCTCATACGTTTGATGGAAAGACCTGAGAATTATAGTTTATATGTTAGTTTTGTATCGAATTTATGTGGAGTTCAGAGCTTTCACCTCCTTGCCCTGATGCAGCCCTGTGGCACAGTGGCTAAACTGCAATATTGCAACCAAAACTCTGCTCAATCCTAGGTAGCTGACTCTAGGTTCACTCAAACCTCCATGCTTCTGAGGGCAATAAACTGAGCACCCAGCTTGCTGGGGGTGTGGGTTGTGTAGCCTGCATACTCAAATTGTAAACAACCATAGACTAAAGTTTTTTTTTTTTTGAAGAACTGAGTACAGTGGTGCCTCATTTGACAACATTAATTCATTTCAGCGAAATCGCTGTAGAGTGAAAACGTCGTCAAACAAAATAAAAAAACCCACTGAAACGCATTGAAAACCGTTCGATGCGTTCTAATGGGCTGAAAACCTGCTGGTCCAGTGAAGATCCTCCACGTGGCAGCCATTTTCGGTGCCTGTAAAGCGAGGAATCTGTCCTAGAAAACAGCGGGGAGCCATTTTCTTCAGCCGGTGGCCATTTTGAAACCCAATGATCAGCTGTTTGCTGATCGTCGTAAAGCGAAAATCGGTTCCCGAAACAGGGAACCGATCATCGCGCAGTGAAAAAACCCCATTTAAAACATCGTTTTGCGATCGCAAAAGTGATCACAAAAACGTCAACATAAAGCGGATTCATCGTAGAGAGGGGTAATCATCCAGTGGGGCACGACTGTATTTAATTTTAGGTGAAACCCCTTGAAGTCAGTGGGATTTATATCAAAGCAAGTGTGCTCGTCAGTAAGACCGTACACCAATTTCTTGGTGAGAATTTCTTCCTTAGCCAGTCTTTCATCAACTTAAGTCTCCAATTTTTTGTCCCTTTAGTACTCCGGCAGTCTTAGTATGCCTTGTAACCTTACCCTTATGGGGGACTGGACTGATCATTTGTGATCAATCTGCTTCATGACATTTGAGTTAACTAATCAGTCCCAGGAAGAATTTCAAATCTAGCCCTGAATAGCAAAACAGCATGGACTTGCAGAGGGAACGAGTGCCAAACAGCATGGATAATGAAGTGACCAAATAATGAACCTCAAGAATAATGAAGTGCTCAAAATCATGACCTAACAGAGGCTGAACCAGCATGTAATGAACCAGCGAATAATAAGCACATGCTTCAGCTAATTCTGGCAAAAAGGGTTTTGTAAATCCAAACAGTGATTTGGCTTTGAATTATGGACTTCCAAACACAGGTGGCTACTCACATGGAAATGATTCATGATTTCTGTACAGGGCGCAGTATTAAATGTAGAATTGGGAACCAGCCGTCTTCTCCTTACTATGCAAGCTGAGACACAATCTCCAAGTAAAGAAATGTAAGGGTAGACATCCAGATGCTACACTGGAATACGCAACCTGATGCTCTCCAGATATTTAGGACTAAAACTTCTATGAGCCTCACCCAGTGTGACCAATGGACAGAGGTTATGGGACCTGTAATCTAAAGCATTAATCTAAAGCCGAGGCAAAGAGGCTGTCCCGAAACCAGCAAAACCAGGGAGCTGGGGAGGGAACAGGTTGTATTTGTCTTCAGGGTGGAAGGGATGGTCACTCTCGGATTGGCCTTCTCAGCCACACTAGACGCTGTTCCAAGACCTCTCCTCAGAGCACGTTACCATAGTCTCTTGAGACTGAAGGATGCCTACACAGAGCACCACATTGCCACTCTTGCAATGTATAAATTCCACGGAGCAGGATCCATGTCTCCCATTTTCACCTGAATTACTATCCCAAAATATCACCTGAACTACTTTTCTAGATTTGTAAGGTAGTGTTAAAAACTGGGAGAGGGGAAAGACCTCAAAAGTCAGCCTTCATGAACATGTGGCTTGTATCCTTGGCAAAGCTCTCCCCAACGTCCAATATTCTAGATTGCTTTGGGGCAAAGTTTGGCCACTTAGATGATGTGGGGCTACAACTCCCATCCACCTTAGCCAGCACAGCCAGTGGTGGTTGGATGCTGGGAGTTACCATCCAGCAACATCTGGTGAATGACATGTGGATGATAGGTAGAAATTGCTGTGGGGTAAAACCCTGGAAGATGGGCAGAGTGAGCAGCTTTATAACATCACAGGATGCTCATTATCAGAGACCAATGAACCAATTCTCCTTCACCAACACATTCAAGCATCACAAGCCCTCTTTATTCACAATATCAGCAACTGGAGAAGACGAGAGGGAGGACATACTGTATGGGGGAGAGATCCCTAGATCTAGGAAGAGAGGGGGGTTATTCAGTCATTTCCTTCTCCTTCTACCAATCTGTCCCTGATACCAGGAGCCCACATACTTTTGTTTTTCACTTCTGATCCCCATCCCAGTAATAGTTCCTTCTTCTGAACATCACTGACGCCCTCATATTGGACAAGACAGACAACAGATACCCCACAGTATCAATGATGTAAATCTTTGACTTACACCACATCAACAGTGTTCCTTTCATGGATGCACTATATTGCTTCTTTCTCTCCCCAGCTTTAATTTACTGGCAAGTTCCCATCTTATGTATGTGTGTGTGTGTGTGTGTGTTATGCAGAAGAGGAACAACTCAGAGGAATTCTAATGAACGAACTTCAGCTGCCATTCTGTTTTTTTCATATAGACTCTGCTGATAAACACTTTTCAATCATAATAACATCTTGGCTTTTAGTAGCTGCAGGGGGTTATTTCAGAGGCATATTTGTGTGCACACATGTTTTGTTCATAAATCTGGTTTCTGTAAAAGCTGAGTTATATACCCAGAATCATCAAGAACCACTATAAATCTAAATCAAGCCAGGTAAACAAAGATATATTTCTCAATCATTTCCCCCCTCTTTGCATACTTCTGTCAAGTGCTAGAGCTGAATGAGGGTGAGAGGAATAAGACAGGTGTGTGCATGTGTGTATAAGAGAAGCAATATCATTACCTCACAGGGAACATGTTGCTGTAGTTGCTGTTGCTTAAAATTAAAATATATGAATATTTGGAGTTTCAACACATACATGAGGTTAATGACTTGTCAGGACACTGGTATCTAATGGCCCATAGTCTCTTATTTAGTCACACCAGAGTAGCGCAAATAGCATTACTTTTGACAGCAAATGTCTCCAACTTAAAATATCATCATAGACATTCTTAATAATAATGACAATAATCTTAGAGCAGAGCTGGAAGGGACCTTCTGGATCCTTGAGTCCAGCCCGTGTCAAGGAGGCACAGTGGGGAATTGAACTCCCAGCCAGATGCCTAAACCACTGAGCTATCCAGTAGTTCTTAAGTGCATAATAACGTACTGTATATAACTCAATGCAAAACCGATAATGTCCATGGTGGTTTTTTAACTTGGGGAAATTCAACTTCTAAAGTTATGCTATTTGCATAGCTACGCAAGAGGCTTTGGCTAATTTGTTATGAATACGAAAACAAAGGACATAGTCCACTGAAGCTGTTTCAATGACAAGGTGCTTGGTGTTTGTTTTTGGCCAGTTGATTTATGTGTTCACGTGTGCTTCTGCTTTCACACTTTTCAGGCTGTTTGTTAGTTTTTATTCATAGCACCGGTATACTACCTACTAACAAAAGGTGCCATATATTTAAATTAGAATGGAAGGGGCGTCAGAGGAAATATTGACGAAACCACAGTTTTTGTAAATATCAGAACACAACTGGATTAAACAGAATTTCAGTCCAGCGCTACTTCATCCAATCCTGCCTGCCCCTCCAAGGAAATTACCAGGGAAGGAGAGGGGGCATGAACTTGACACCATGTGGCCATCTTTTCTCAAGTAACATTAGCTGTTCAGAGGCAGCCTCACCTCAAGCAAGATATTGAGTTCTCTTTTAAGCAGCACTCCACTATCTGAACTTCATTCCATTCATTTGAAACTCAACAAAACTTTTTTTAAAAAAAAGAAAGGAAGGAAGGAAGAAATGACTCCATCTTCCCAGCAGAGATGCACACTTACCGAGAACTGTCAGCCGGGCAGGTCTGGAACGGATGGCTGCCTGGATGGCCTGGCATTCGTAAACTGCGTCATCTTGTAGATCTGCTCTCAGAATCTTCAGGTGATGTTCTCCTGACAGATGGTCCCCCACAACCAAATAGCGAGGGTAGCCTATGGTAGACAAGCAAGAGCCAGAGATATACAGATTTGTATTCGCAAAAGCTTTCGCGGCCGGGATCTAATGGTTGTTGTGGGTTTTTTCGGGCTCTTTGGCCGTGTTCTGAAGGTTGTTGTCCTCTGAAGATGCCGGCCACAGAGAACTGGCGAAACGTTAGGAAGAACAACCTTCAGAACACGGCCAAAGAGCCCGAAAAACCCACAACAACCATATACAGATTTGCATGAGAGCTTTTCACAAGCAAGAGCTTTGGAAAAGAAATTTCTAAAAACGCAGACTTGACCATGGCTCAGTGATATCACAAGAGTAATACATTTGTTTATCATTAAAATGATTGGCCTCGTTCTTCTTAACAGTCCCATTTTTGGACAATTCTACACAGACAGCAGATCATATATGTGGTCAAGCATACTGGACTGTACAGTACTGCTACTACAACAGTGTTTGTTGACTTACGTCCTCTTGTGGGGTTCCATCTATGCACCAGCAATGATGTTGTCAGCATGATTCCTGATGATTAAAGGCTTCCTTTTGTAATTTTGGGGAGCATTGTGTATGAGCTGTGCACACTGCAAGACCAGAGAAGGAAGTCTTTAATTCATGGGAATCTGCCAGTACCAATGACATTAGTCCCGTTGAGCAGGTGAACCCTCCCTCCAATAGGATTTCAGTCAACAAATAATATTACTGGATATTCTTGTATTTTGCAAGCAAAACTTGTATTTTGCATGAACCTTGCATTTTGATTTTTTTTAAAAAAAAGCCTTGCATTTTGCACAAAACACATATTTGGTATGCAAACTCTAAGGCTTTTGCACAAAATTCACAGTTTTTGACCAAAGAACACTTTTGCGACTTCTCACCACAAATACTTTCATACCTTTACCCAACAGGGGAGGGCCTACTGAACATTTTCCATTCCCACCTGCAAGAGCAAAATAAGTGACGGTTGGCATCCCCAGTCTTGCCAGACACTTACCTTCATGCATGAAATTGCCCCTTTTATTATCACCTGGATTGTGAATGCAGAAGTGACTGGGATGTGATTAATTGATTTGGGGGGCTGAATGTTGACAGGCAACTCCGGCTGGGTGACCATTACGGGCTTCATCTCCTGAGTTTCCCAAGTTGCCGAAGAGGTAAAGACTTGGCCTCCCTCTCTCTGCATCCCCAATTGTTTCCTGGCCCGATGATTAATGAGCTGTGAAGCATAGGCAGCCTGGCACGTTCTCCTGCTTTTTGCCCCCCCTCGCTTTGTTTTTCAGGCTATCAACAGCAGGATTTGCTCTCATGAACCGCAAGAAATACAAATGAAGGGTTTGTTTGTATTTAGCTAATTAGATGACTAGCTGAGCTCGTATCGCACACGCAGGCAGAGACCCAGCTTGCTAAAGCAGGCCTGGCAAAGTTAATTGCCAAAGTTATTCAGAATGATACGTCAGCCGCATTAGCTCTTGTTAGTCATTCTCCATTCCAAAGTTTGGGAGGCAAATTATAGAGTGCCTGAAGCATGCTGGGAAATCGGAATATATACATTGAAGAGGAACTTAATAGTAGGGATGGTGGTTGGGTGGTTCGTATTCTTGAAAATATAGGCAGAGAACCACAGTGTAGTGGAAGGAAGGATTATATATAATGGCTAAATATAAGTTCCAGTTGGAAGCGTCAAGCCTCTGAATACTAGGGTTCAAGTAGATCTAAAAAGTAGAGATGGATTTATTTATTTATATTTATTTATTCAATTTCTATACCGCTCATCTGGCTGCAAGGCCACTCACTCGGGGTGGTTCACAACATGATTTAAAAAATACCACTTTAAATAAATGACAACATAATAACAGTAAAGAAATCAAATTAACCATATCAATCAACTTCAACTAAGAAAAAGAAAAACCAAGAAAAGACAACATAAACAATGGTTCATAGACTGTACAGGACAAGGTGTCTCAACCTATTTTTTTGGGGGGGGGTGTTAGGATGCTGCTTTCTGCTCCATTCATGAGCCATTTAGAGACATTCTCAACAATCAACCCAATTTCCTGCCCTCAGAATTTCCTCAGAGTGATTCAGAAATCAGATGCGCAAACATATCTCTTTTTGTCTTTCAGTGACCAAACACAATAAACATAGACATGTAAAATGCAAGATATGCAGGTGATGAAAATAAGGTGCTGTGACAAACAAATGTTTTTCACATATGGGGGAGCACCTCTTTCAAAAGCCACACTAACCAAGTCACCTAGTTTGACTCCCTCCACCAGTTTGTGTGATATATATGTTGGGTGCTACTGTTTCATTGATGTCCTGCTTGTGGGCTTCCCAAAAGCATTTGCTTGGCCATTTTGGAAATTGGATGCTGGTCTAGATGGGCCTTCACTCTGGTCTCACACAATTCTTCTGATGTTCTCACAAAGGACATCCCCCCCCTCCCATATTCCATCTTGGCATAATTTGTTTGAATCTAACTCGGCTTGTACAATGTTCTGAGAGAGCAAGTGGTCTCTCTCTGATGCACAGATCACCCTCGTGAGTACAATAAGAAAAGTACTCACATCATTGCTCTGAGGCAAAGAACAGTATTTCCCATTTTATAGTAGACTCCAGAGGCTCAGAGGAAGTGTGTATGGGATTTGTTAATTATTATTTTCATGGGCAGGAATACTAAGGAATGAAAGTGTAACTCCATGCACTGCACAAAGTGGCATGTTGTTGTAACTAATGGAGGCTGCTAAGTGTATGTGCATGAATATGCATGCCTGCTCATGTGTACAAGCCCATTGGTGGCTCACTAAGTCATTCGAGTGATTGTATCTTACTATAGCTGAATTTCCCTAGTGCCAGTAGATGCCAAATATTTTCCAGGAGCACCTAAATTGGAGGACACCAGGCCTGGAAAATGCTAAACAACACCATGTCCAGTGCCTAACACATACGTAACTGCATTAGATTACATCTTCCAGTTAATGAAGAAGAAATTCATCCTTTTTGTTGTGCAACTTCTAGTTACATCCATAGTTACAGGAGAGCAAGAATATCACATGATTCAAGTGCTGTCATATGTTTAGAAATGGAACGCAATGCTTCTAGGTTTCCATTGATTTAGAGTGGGTCCCATACAAGAGCTGACTAAGGGATTTGGCCTGAAACAATCTTAGTGCAGCTGGAATGTAATGGCCTCCCTTAGAATAGAAGAATTTTAGTATAGTAAGGCTAGATCAGAGGCACACTACACACAGCTTTTGCTGACAGGGCAATGCCCTGGCAGATATATTGGGCTTAATTCAGATATGCTGACAAAAGTTGCTAAATTCTGTGCTGCTGCAATAAAAATCCGTGAAGGAAAGGTTCCACCTAAAGCGCAGTTATAGAATCTGTAAATTGGTGTACACCAATTAATGATCACACGGGCTATATGAGCTTTAAAATAACAAATTTGGCATTCTATGCAAGTTGTAATAGCCCATAGATAAGGCCTATGATAGGGAGGTAGGAGATATCTAGTAAGATGTATATATGTATATAGATGCTTTTAGTGCTTTGCTGCTTTTAGTGTTTTTAATGATTTTATATTGTTTTTATGTCTCCTAATTTAAAAAAAAATGTATCTTTTGCTGGTCAATGACCGTAATAGACATTTATTATTATTAGAGTGGGTCAACATGGTATGATAGGGCAAGACATTAGAAAAAAACACCCTGTGAAATTCCTCACCTCTAACTGAGAAATAATTTTTAACAATCCCTTTCCTTTTGAGATCTCTGTAATTTTCCCAGACTGTAGGTAGTGACCTTTGTCTTTGAGAACAAAGTATGAGTATATGCTGATGTACACCTTCAGTTTCTCATGGCACATCACTATGATCAGTTTCTTAGGAGCTAGACGTGGTTAATTGTTTCTTGGCCAAGGTTAGAGATGGGAAACATCATTCTTCAGAAGTAAAATTCCCAGAATCTCCCAGCCAACTTTGCCACTGATTCTGTGAACTCTATTAAAAAAAAAAAAAAAACAAAACAAAACAAAAAAAAAACAAAAAAAAAACACCAATGTTTCCAACATCTGGTCAAAGGGGGGGCATAGAAGAAACCATTCTGATATTAACAGTCCAGATAGCTTACTTGAGAGATCCCGTCCTACTCCAAGCGCAAGTCCATCTTTAATCCATAGCACAATCCCATTGTATTCTGGAATAGCACATAGGAGGGTCACAGGCTGCCCGGCAATCACGACTTGGTCCTGAGGCTGCTGGGTAAACGAAGATGCTGGCCCTGCTGAAAGAGAAGAGACATGAATGTTAACATGGTGCACCCAGTAGCTTTAATACAATGGTTTTCAATTTGTCTACCTAACCCGAATAGTCTGGATGTGGTCAAACTACACCAAGAGTTTTCATCTATCTAGAAATAGTTCAGCTCCACCAATGAAGATAGAACCCCTGAGTAGCTATGTATAGGATTGCTATCATCCTTGACCTGCAATAATCAGTAAAGAAATTGGATATGATGCTAAGCACTTGTCTTCTTTTTGTGAGTTTGTGTATGTGCATCATATTATGCTCCTCTGTTTCAAAACTGGTCACTGCCCAATAGTTTCAGCCCTTCCTCATGGAAAATGCTTTGTAGCTCCCTGCCCGTGTAATCATAAATATGTTTAAGGAGGGGCCCATATATGCGAAAAAACTTTCCAAATTCCAATAGAGGGAATAAATGGAAGATGTTTTCTCATAGGGGGGAAAAATCTAATAATTATATCAGACTTGAGATGGGCAGAAACCGAAACAGGAACCAGAATACCCATGAACGTGGCTGGTTCGTTGTTCAGTTGTGGTTCGGTTTGGGGATCCTGTTTTGTCAAAATGAAAAGACGCTCTGAATTTTTTTCCCCTCGGCACTTTATTTTGTTTGGGTAAAAACAGGATGCCCACTCACCCCCCTCCCACTGCCCCCATCGTCTCTTTAGCTTGTCTTGAAGCTGCCTTCTCCTTCTCCTCCTCCTTGATCATCCTAAGAGGCAGCCAGCCTGGCTTCCATGCAAGGAGTTGGCCTTGCTGCCTCTCAGGATTATGGCAGTTGTAGCTTCAAGAGAAGATAGGAAGGTGACGGGGCAGTGGGATAAGGAGAGGTGGGCCACAAACCATCAGGAATCACCGGTTTTCTGGTTCCTGCAGATCTCCATACCAAACTATATCAGCCTGCTTAAGTATCAGTGGCCTTGTACTAGATAATTTAGCCCACAATCTGCAGCATATTTCTGCCTAGCTGGGAGGAAAAGATGCATTTGTTGCCTTTTGAGACAGACTCACATTTTCGGTCCTACATGCAAGATGGCTACTATAGAGTTCCTCCAAAGTTCTGAGAGTCTAAACTAACAGCAAGAAGCAAATGCCAGTAATTCCAATTGGATGAATTACCACTTCTTTGTTGGGTACTAAATGTGTCACACGAAAGCAACCTTAGCTTTGACATAAAAGCAGATTAGGGTTCTATTAACAGTGTTAAAAGTTCCTTTGTAAATCCCTCGGCTAGTTTTGAATTCAGAGAAAGGATGGGGGAGCAAGAGAGTTACAATTTTCAGCTTAAAAGTGGAAAAAAAAATCCAGGATATAAGTCCTGTTCATAAATAATTTGCTATTGACAGAACAAAAGCTCAGCATGAGCCTAGTCCTCCTTGAGGAAAGAGCCACATGGCTGAAGTAGAGAGGGAGAGGCAACAATTATACTATCTCAAACTTAAAAGCAAACAGAATGTTTCCTTTGAGCACACTCGGTTGGCATCTGCTATGATTTCAGCAGACTAATAAGGCCTCACCCCATTCTATGGCATCACCAGGGGGGGAAGTAAAACCAGCACAGATTTTACCATGCACACGCTTACAGGCGCCGCCGCTGCTGGGATAATATGCATGAGAGATGTGGTAAGTGGCTCATTAAGCAACTTGACAGCATCCTTTTGTACCCACAGATGAATACGAAAAACTGCTCAATTATCACAAAGAGAACCACCCCTACCGTCTAATATTAGATGCTCCTGATTGTCTCTCAACTGTGGGCAATGGCCCTCATTTCTCTCTTGTCCTCCAATGCAGATGGCACAGGGGAGAACCTATTGTGAAATAAATCCACCGCAAGAACTAATTTGCCACCACAGTCTAAGCAATAATCTTCTGCTTCCGTCCAATTTCAGGAAGAAATGGAACAGCAGTCAAAGGTGTTGTGAAACCAATAGATTGACAGGAACCAGCAATCTTGGATCCATCACCAAAAATCAAACCAAGCCCACTTGTCCCTCTATAAAAGCTGGGCGAATCCAATATCTACAAAACCCAGTGAATCTGAAGCCAAAGTTGAGAATAAAGGGCTTTGTTGTCAAAGGGACCACTTCAGAAAAATCTTGACACATGGCTGGCCAAAAAAACGTGTTCAGCCTTTGTAAACAATTAGTTGAGAATTTTCCAAGACAAAATCAACGACACGCTATGTCAGTTAACACCTGTTCTCAAAATGATGATTAGCGGCTGAGCCTATCCTGACCCATTCATGAGCGGAATCCCACTCAGTAGCGTGAAGGTACCACTTGCTCATTATCTTCAAAAGTGATAATGAGGAATCATAATATTTTTCACCTAACTTTTTTTTAACATCTGTGAGAAATGCATGAAATTTTCTGCAGGGAGTTTGATTTCCCCACTGTGCCTCTCTGATAGGGGCTGGATTCAATGATCCATAGGGTACTTTCCAGCTTTGCAGAGTTCTATGATGATGATTCCGGTCATGATGATGATGATTGTTCTTAATTTTTTGTCCTTACATTTATGAAGATATCTTTTTCTTTCCCCTTTTTGCATTAAAAATGCACAGAATTGGCACAAAACTGGTATGATGGCACCTGAAACTCATGGCAATCATTCAGTTTTAAATCTTTGACTGATTCTTTGCCTCTTTCTTAATAACGGACCCCACACACCCCTGCACTTATACTGTGTGTTTCTATGTTTTGCTTCAAGAGGAAAGGATGATTTTGCACATTTTGTTTACATTTGCAAATTATAAGACTTTAATAGGAAACAAAAAAAACAATGACTCTTTGTCTTGCTCTTGAATGGAAATACAGTGGACCCTCGACATACAGACGGCTCGATTTACAGACTTTTCGAGTTACAGACTTCTCTGGCTGCAAAATTTAGGTTCGACTTGCAGCCGGAGAATCGACCTACAGACCAGAAAAAAACACAAAATGGAACAAAAATGGAACAAAAACGGCCGGCTATGGGATTAATCGGTTTTCAATGCATTGTAGGTCAATGGAGACTCGACTTACAGACTTTTCGACCTGTAGCCACTGTTCCAATACGGATTAATTCCGTAAGTAGACGAATGGAAATAACCAATCTTATCAAGCTTCCAACTTCCTTGTTAATGTGCTGTGACATCCTATATTGATGCGGAAGATACATACAGCGTATATTCTTTGCTTTCTTACTTGGGGTAACAAAGCCAAGTAGAAGACACTTATGGAGATATGGAAGATGAGCTTCTAAAGAAGAAAGTTTCTTTTCTATAGAAGAGTTTCTTTGTGGTTACTTGGAAGGCTGGTTTTCCCAGTAATCCATATCATGTGAAGAACCTCCAAAGATACAGGAGTTTTCATCACCTGAAAGTTGCCTTCCATGTGGTGAACCATTATGCTGTGACATCCTATATTGACGCGGAAGATACATACAGCGTATATTCTTTGCTTTCTTACTTGGGGTAACAAAGCCAAGTAGAAGACACTTATGGAGATATGGAAGATGAGCTTCTAAAGAAGAAAGTTTCTTTTCTATAGAAGAGTTTCTTTGTGGTTACTTGGAAGGCTGGTTTTCCCAGTAATCCAGATCATGTGAAGAACCTCCAAAGATACAGGGGTTTTCATCATCTGAAAGTTGCCTTCCATGTTGGGGAGGGAGATGAGGCCATCATGTTCCTCATTTCAATGGATGTGTTTCATTTTATAATTCTTAAGTAGGCCTTTTATTGCCTTCATAGCCTACCAATCCTCTGGGGCAAGGATGTCATTGTCGTTTAGTTGTTTAGTCATGTCCGACTCTTTGTGACCCCAGTGGAAGATAGGTCCTCCTATCTTCCACTGCCTCCCACAGCTGTGTCAAATTCATTCTGGTAGCTTCGATGACACTGTCCAACAATCACATCCTCGGTCGTCCCCTTCTCCTCTTGCCTTCACACTATCCTAACATCAGGGTCTCTTCCAGGGAGTCTTCTCTGCTCATGAGATGGCCAAAGTATTGGAGCCTCAGCTTCAGGATCTGTCCTTCCGGTGAGCACCCAGGCTCGATTTCCTTCAGAATTGATAGGTTTGTTCTCTTTGCAGTCCAGGGGACTCTCAAGAGCCTCCTCCAACACCACAATTCAAAAGCATCAATTCTTCAGCGGTCAGCTTTCTTTATGGTCCAGCTCTCACTTCCATACATCACCACAGGGAAAACCATAGCTTTGACTATGTGGACTTTTGAGCAACCTGTAAATTGCTGGACTTCAACTCCCCCCCCCACCTCACATGATTTCCTAGAATGTCTAGGGCTTGTGGAAATGTAGTCCACCAACATTTGGAGGGCCACAAACGTCTTACTCCTGATCTACTGAGTTCAGCACAATGTATTTGAGATTTCTGAGTATTCCTGCTCAATAATATTGCTCAGTAATATTGAAACTGACCACACCCAGACCAACCTGGTTCCAGCAACATTGATGTTTCACAGGGTAGAGACTATGGCTCTCCAAATGTTTCATATCTTAGTTTCTAGAACTGCAAGTCAGTAGAGCAAGTATGTTATGGGAATGGGAATGGTAGCCCATACTATCTGGAAGACCATAGTTTCCACACCCTTTCATACCTTCAGATCCCGTAGGAAGCATCTTCCTTGCATAATAAAACTGTGCTTATGTGCTTGGAAACAGGCTCTCCTGTGATGGTTTGTGCAGTGAACTTTTTTTTTTTAGTCATCAAACAATATGTAACCTCACAATGGGGCTGTTTGTCCTTATTACAGAATAACTGTATCTGAAACGTATCCAGCAGCTTTTATATCTGGAGAGACAGTGGAGAGTAGAGCGGCTTGGAGCAGAAGCGGCACATTGGGATTCTGTGAATGTTCTATGCTCGTGTTTCATCTGAACGCTTTGTTTCAGAGAGAAAAAGAGAGTTTATTTGGACTAACTCTCTAGTCAGCAGACTCAGCAACTGGTAGATTTTGATGGCACAGTTGGGTCGTAGC